TTTGGGCTGATTAGCCCTGCTGTGACAGTTCTTGACTACTCCTCTCGAACGCATGATAGATGGCGTCGTCGATTCAGCAAGAAGTGATTGGGAGCATGGGCGGAAAAGAAGGGAGGGTAGTGAGGACTAACTAGTCTCTGAGTACTGCCTTGCAACATCGGCAACAGCATCGCTGATTTTATTCCTGACCAGGCGGTCCCTCTCGTTGGCTAAGGTTTCAAGGAGTTTCTGGCGGATGACGGATGCCTGCGCGGTAGGCAGAGATACAAATATCTCGGTGTTGTCGCCTTTGTCATTCTTGCGCGACTTGGAGGCGATTCGACGGAATATGACGGCCGCAAAGGAACGAAGCTACACGGGTCAGCATTGCAGGTTCCAACACACTAATACAAGGAGCGCTATGCGTACTGATGTTTCGCTTGCTGATGCTATCTGCTCAGCTAATCCCATCAACAAGATTTCAGGCCGAGTATTGGTCCAGTTGTTCTGCAAATGATTCTCGGCCTGAGATCGTATGGAATTGTCTGGGGATTGCAGAGCTTGCAGGAGCTGTGTTAGCTCTGCATGTGTCTCTGCCGGAAGCACCGACATGATTGCTGGTAATGTGATTCGGTCACAGAGAGATCTGTCAGCGAAGAAGAAAAATGGTTGATAATAGGTCTGTATAGAGCAAATTCGTCAAAGACGCAAATTGTATCGCTCCGTCGATATCGTGCCCCGCAGGGCTAAGACGCGGTTGCCGGCTGTGGACTCTGCGAATACTAAGTAGAGACGGTTGAGACACAGTAAATTCGAAATGACAAATTTGCTGTGTGCTCGAATTACAGCTGATTCAAGCGATCCTAGAAAAATCCAAGCGATCACGCGTAGAAAGAGAGAAGTTTGTTGTTATTATGGCCGTGTTTTGGCATCAAAGGCGAGGGGTCGCGAAAGAGGGGAGGTTCGCTATTGACTTTTTTTTCCCTTTCCCTTTTAGAAAAAAAAAAATAATTCTTTGGGACGTACCTACCTCCAGTAGGTAGGCACAGTATTCAGGCTGGGTTACTGCCAAATGCATACCCAACAACAAAGAGGCTAACTTAATGAGGAAGCTTAAAAGTACTTGATTTGGTATGGCACAAGTTAATTACATGTAAGTTTAAGTTTAAAACCAGGTACACCCCCAGCGCAATCAGCACTCCGTTCGTGAACTTAGGTATATCAATAGAATGCGTGCCATTGATAAGACTAGGCCTTTTCTCATCACTGGTCTGGATCTTTGGTTCACTATTAGGTACTTAAGATATGTCTGCTAATTAATTTGCATACAGCCCATTTGTGTCTGGCATATGTATAGTTCACAGTTAGTTGATTGGCTACAAATTCCTGTATCTCGAACAAGAGCTACCTATTCACGCTGCCACGTAATACATCCTAGTATTATGTAGTCGCTCTTGCTTCCCATTAGCTGATATGATAATAAATTCACAAATCGAAAGCAAATGCAAGCCTATGATCTCCAGAAGAACTGGGTGTTGATAGGCAGCCACCTAGAAACAATTAACCTGTGGTGAGTAGTACAGTAGTATATGGTACATATGGGTAGGGATTTACAAGTCCATATTTGTCTCGCAACGGTCGCATGTTGACATTGCCTGCTCGACCAGTTTGCCAAGATAGATGTAAACAAAAAGATCACCAAGATAAAAACTCAACATCGAAGACTTCAGATGATCTTAGCAAAGAGTATGCAGGTACGTATGATGAGCCTTCCAAAATCAGTAGATGGATTAGGTACATCACATACATCACATCCGGTGAGTTGTCTATAAATAAAAATTGGCCCACTCGACCCCTCCAACTGTGGCTTTATTAAAGTTGACTCGGGCTGCGGATCGACAGAAATGACAGATGGGTGACGGTGTGGGAAAGGTGAAGGAGGGGTTTGCCGTGCCGGGGGGCGGGCAGGCGGGTTGCACTGTCCACTATCGGGAATGTTTTACTTGCGGAGCCCAAGCTTTAAGCCCAGTCTCACCAGAGTATGTACATGCATTAGGTATGATAGGTACACCACTCAACGCCAATTGAAGGCTGAGTTTCTTTACGCCATCACCGACTTCAAAAGATCCGGTACCAAACATGGTCTTTGTCGTTCTAAAGAGCGTCTCACCTCTGAACCCCACTCAAGCTACATGAGTAAGTCGGCAAGGCTAGCACTAGCTATAGCTTCGAAGCTACAGCCAATCCAACTCCTCGCAACTCTGCGGCAAAGTGGACAGCGGTACTACGAAAAAACGGCCTCAACTCTACGACCATCTCATCATATACCTAGTTCCTCCTCGTCATGGATCCTAACGCAAATTCTTCCAGGGTAGGAAGGGATTCTAAGGAAGCGAGTATCTCACCGCCGCCCCCTCAACGAACCGGCTCTGCTTCAAGTCTGCACAAGATCAACCACAGCCATCGCTCAAGCTTCGCCGAAAACTTGAGAGGCTTGCCACCCTCACCACGAAATCAGCGACATCCTTCCTTCACTCAAGCCGCTATCCAGGAATTACTCAATCATCCACCAGCCCCGAGACAGCACAACCCTCGTTTCGCGGGGAGGGATTGGCGTGATGTCGGAGTCGGGGAGCTTGTGTCCAAAGACGACGTTTCCTGGGTCGAAATGGACACTAGCGTTGAGGATGCCACAATGGTATGACACATTCCCGACCGCCAACATGGTTTAAATTCAAGGGACCTGTCTCTAACTGTACTCCCAGGCGCTTCTTAAGAATACCTCGAGCAACGTTGTCATTGTTCGAGAGAATGCCACTACCTCCATTCCGGTCTCGACCTTTGATTATAATGACTTGAACGCATACATATTGGTCGTTGTTGGATTGGCGCACCCACCCGATGATTTGGTTGAGTTATACGACACGATAGCAAAGAAGGCACAGGCCCGGATCAGTATACCGCTCCGCGACGTCCAACCAATGTTCAAGAAAGAGTCCCTCGTCACCTTGCAAGGGGATGAAGACCTAGCCAAGGCAATCGAGATTTTCGGCAGCGGGATCCATCGAGTACTCATCACCAATCACAATGGCGAAGTCATCGGCATCCTAAGCCAGTTGAAACTTCTAGAGTTCTTCTGGAACGAAGGCGTCAACTTTCGCGTCATCGACGATCTATACCCTAAACTGCTACGCGAGGTTGGTGTGGGATCGCAACAGATAATCGCTGTCAAGTACGTGTATTGTAGCCTCCCTCTCCCTGTCCTGGATTACTTGCTAATAATCGCACAGTGCAGATAGCCCCCTGACAGAAGCCCTCAATCTTATGAACCAAGAGGGTCTGTCGAGTGTGGCTGTCGTTGACAATGGGTTGAATGTTGTCGGCAACATTTCTACCGTCGACGTTAGGCTCCTTACTAATGCTACGAGTCTTCCACTGCTGCAGAATTCGTGCATGCACTTCATATCGGTTATCTTGACGGAAAAGGGTGTCGAGAAAGGCAGGGACTCGTTTCCTGTGTTTTATGTGAACCCTTACTCGACGCTCGCGCATACCGTGGCCAAGCTAGTGGCTACCCGTTCGCATAGAATGTGGATAGTGGAATCGGCTTCTCCGTCTCCTTCCGCACCAGGGACTCCTTCGCTGGGTCCCACAGTCTTCGTCCCGACTCCGTCTTCTTCACAGACGTCTCTGACTGGGAATCATTTCCCTTCAGTCCCACCGGCTTCCAGTCTTCCGGGATCTCACTTGTCAGGGCGCCTTATTGGTGTCGTAACCTTGACGGATATCCTTAATTTGTTTGCAAGGTCGACGGGACTTAACCCTACAGATCCGAGTGAACAGCGGGCAAGAAGGCGAAGAAGTTCTAGCAGTTCTGTTCGCCCATCTATTGAGTCTTCTCGTGCTAGCCTCGACATTCGACGTTAGTATGTTGGACTGCAGGTTCGTCACAAAATTCGCTACTACATCTAAGAGGAAGGTTTGCCTGAGCTTCAAAACTGGTACATTTACTACCTGGTTGCTATTCCCGGTTTTCCATTTCCTTCACGATAGCAATAGAGAGGGAGGTTCCTTAATGTGTTGATTGCGCGTTGCTTCATTTCATAGCGCAACGATTCTTATGAGATATATTGCTAGGAGTTAATGGCGTTTGTTACGTTTTATTCTCCGCAAGAAATCATAATTGGAGTCATTTTAAGCGTATTCAAATATTTATAGCCAATACTCATGCCTCCTATTCTCAACAGTGAAAATTAAACAACTACCTAGCTACCTATTGTACGAATACTTGTTGCTATCGCAGGTACACATCTCGTCCCAACGTTCTTGTGAGTAAAGTAAAAGAAGAGCAGTCAGGCTCCCATCGTCTCTCAGCTTCATTCCACATCTTGCCCGATCACAGAAGCGGCCTGAATCTGTAACGTCGTCCTCTTCCCATCCATGGATATAACATTAATATTTACATTGAGCGTATGCCGTGTTCTGATATATAATCACGCTAGTGTTGTTTGAATTAAGGGGATCGTAGTTACTCAATGCCTACCCAACTCGGAGGCCTCTTCAAGACACCGTCTTCAGCTACACTAGCTAGGCTTTCCTGTTTAATATTAATATTGAATGAAGAGTGTGTTAGGGGTAACAGATGCCTATTCAATCTGATACCCAATGGCTTACGACCTCAACACTCGTCAGCACCCGCCAATATTGGTCCCCTCTACGCGTATCGTACCAGGCCAATCTACCAGTCAATCTCTATCAGCCAGTACAAAGTCAGGTCAAGTTAGGTGAGATAGTCCGTATCAATCTCCGGCGAAAAGACGAGCAAGTGATCTGCACGTAAAACCAAAGCGATAGCGCTTTATAGCTGCCGATTAAGTTGATACCCGTTGCGTATAGAACAAAATTTTCATAGGTCAACCATAGAAAGGGCAAGTCGTAGGATTATTGCCAATTCAGATCAAGCTCGTGAATCCTAGGGCAAAAAGGAACGAAAAAAGAAAACTAGAAAAATTTTGGTATTGCGACACGGCTAGGGATCGAACCTAGGCGACCGAAGTCATGAGATGGCATAAATTCTTTGAATTCAAGTCTCACCCATTAACCACTCTGGCACCGTGTCTTGTGACCACAGACTTGCTAAGTTATGTCAAGTACCATATTCCTGGACCTGATCATTCGATTGGCTTCCAAGATAAAAAGTGGGACAATACAAGGATAAAACTTCTATGCTACTGTACTAGTGTGGCCCACTTGCAATTCCCGGCTAAATATCGGACTATGCCCCAAAAAGAAAATTTAGAGAAGGCAGGCAATTAAGAAGCCTACTGTCCGCCTGCTGTAATGGACATTATCAGACAATGCTTCGAGTAGGCAGTGATGTTCTTTTCATTATATCTAGATACAACAGGTATCTAGATAAGTCCCTAGTTGGATGTCCACGCCTTCAAGATACCTGTGTCGTCCCCCTAGACAATCCAACAGCCAAACCCTTCTAGAGCTTCCTCGAGGCTCCTCCATCCGTTCCTATTCCTTTTCCGAATCACCGGATTTTCGCACTTCAACTACCCTCTTTTGGTCGGCAGAGGAGAACAGAGTTGTACCTTGCTGCAGGGATTTGATGAGCATAGGAACTGCGTCGCCTTTGAAGTCATCGGCGCTACGAATCTTGTCTAGGTCTTCCGCGAATTCCTTGGTGCTTTGCTGGAGGTAGTAGGAGGTGAACTTCTGAGATGTGGTGTCCTTGTGCGACATATTTCCTGTGCTCCTTGCTGCGCCACCGTAAGGTGTTGTTTTTTATGGTAAGGACTGAATGCGATGATGGTGGTTGTAGGCTTAGTAGTCGTGTAGTTGCTCTGAAAAAGAAGGGAATTGTTGAAGCGCTCATCAGTACCTAAGGTATTGAAGTTTCTAATTTTACTGCATTCTTTCGTCCCCACAGACCACCCAACCTACTATCTCCAACTACCTAATATGATAAAGTCGTAGCTATCGTGATAGAGAATTGCCGGCACAAGCGAAAAGCAACAATCAAACTACTACACAGCTAGAATACTGTGTTAAATCGACTTCGGAATCAATATGTGAGCGGTCCGTTATCACCGGTAGGTAGGTACCTAAGGTACCTAAGGTAAATGTTGCCGCCAGGAGTAAAGCTGTTTCCAGCTTCCCCGCCTTGCCGGTGTTTCAAGGGGAACAACTACTGTCAGCCCTATTACATCAAATACCTAGCATCCTCCCAGACAGATCACTGCGTGGTCACTTTATGTTCATGAATCCTCAGTACGTATGTTCGCCAACGGATGTAGTATTCAGGTTCGTATTTCTATTTGTTTCCCTTGATCGAATCACATTTTGCGCGGATTTAATTATACGCAAAGCTATCAATTGTCATATCATCAAATGGCACCCCACGAAGGTCTGGTACATCTAAAGGAGTATGACTGGAGAGATAGCAATGTCGAAAATATCGGAACAGATCTTGATCACAAGGTCAAGTACAATTCAGCAGCCACAGAGCCTGCGTGGCAAGAAGTCGGACAAGCTCCCGGTCTTCGCATCTGGCGAATAGAGGATTTCGAGGTCGTCCCATGGCCAAAAGATCGGTATGGCGACTTCCATGAGGGAGACAGCTACATCGTATTGCACTCGTACAAGGTGGGAAGCGAGAACGGAGAAGAGAAATTAGCCCACGACATCTTCTTCTGGCTCGGAAGTAAGACGTCACAAGATGAGGCGGGAACTGCCGCTTACAAGACGGTTGAACTGGACGAGTTCCTGCACGGCGTCGCCACGCAACATCGCGAACTACAAAAAGACCCATCTGACGACTTTGTGGCTTTATTCTCTCGCGTCCGCATTCTGTCTGGCGGCGTCCGCTCTGGCTTCACCCATGTGGAGACCGAAGGGGAACCCAAGGAGACTCTCATGTTACTCAGGATCTTCAAGCACCCATCTGCTAAGCGGGCTGACTCAGTCATGGTTTATGAAGTTGAACCTACCTGGCAGAGTCTCGATGAGAACGACGTCTTTGTATTGGAACGCAATGACAAGATCTGGGTCTGGCAGGGGAAAAGTTGTAGTCCCATGGAAAAAGCCAAGGCCGCTCAAGTTGTGCACGATATGACCATCGCGAAACATATCGATGTCGAGGTGCTATCACAGACGGAGTCGAGATCGCGAACTGTGGTGGCTATGCTAGGCGGTGAGGATGCCGAGGGACCCTTCAAAGCTCCGCGACCGATTGCCTCGTCTAGAAGTCAAGACGCTATTCGACGGCCTCGCAGGCTTTTCCGCCTGTCAGATGCATCCGGCCAGCTAAGGTTCGACTTGGTGAAGGAAGGCTCTGCGATAGACAGATCAGATATGGATAATAATGATGTCTTCCTACTTGACACTGGTTCGACCATCTGGGTATGGCAAGGTTTGGGAGCTAGCAAGGCAGAGAAGGCCATGTGGATCAAGGTGGCTGAATTATATATTCGGCAGCTTGGTGAAGAATCTGACGGCGGCAGAGCATATCTAAGTCCTATCTCCAAGGTAGTCGAAGGAAACGAGAGCCCGGCGTTTGTCAAAGCTCTCGAGGCGTGATAATAAGCGATTAAGTCTTATCGTATTATATGTTCAGCTTCTAGTCTTCTTTTACTCGTCATTCGTCTCAAAAGCCTTTTCCTTCATCCAGCCTCTCTCTCCGTCTATATATCAGGCAAGTAAATAGATAATATTGTATCTATCGTTCCAGGCAATGCTGCTTCTAAACTCTCATCCCTATTGCAACTGGTATTTATCAGTAGGAGGGTATCGAACCACGCACCATGATCGGCCTATACCTATCATCGCGGGTCATAGGTATTGTTCTGCCCTATAGTAGCCTATGCTACAGGTAGGTATCTATTGTGGTGACTCATATCGTGTCCTTCCATCACTGTTGCAACCTAATGTTCAAATTGGCAGGGAGTTAGGTCGTAGTTAAGAGGAAGATGTAGATTACTCTATTAGATGAACAATGAAATTTTCCATCTTTAGAAGATATAGTAAGGACTACAAGTACCTAGGTAGGTAGTAAGTTTACAGTTGAGCAAATAGGTTAGTAAAAGTTTATAGAAATAACCGGTTTACCTGTTCAAGTTAGAGTGCAGCTTAGGGGAAAATTAAGGTTGGGGTCGGGAGCTGAATGGGACGACTCTCAGGCAGACATCAAGAAAGTTACATCATCGGCCCCACTAAGCTGGAACGTAGAAAGCAGCGGCCATCGAAAGTCGACCGACTGACCTTGATTTTGATGTTGATCACCTTGATACCATATTAAGAAAAATAGCCTCATATAGCTTCATTGTCGATATCCTCCCGAAAACGCGTTTGGATTTGCCCATTCACCTAATCTCCAGACATCTACAACTCTTTTACTTACGATGACTACGTACAAAAGCACCCCGCTGTATGGAGGGGCTCTCATCGCAGACCTTCCAAGTAACTTCGCCGACGTGAGGTATGTCTACCTGCACTCTCTCTCCGTTCGTCGCATAAAGAATCCATCAGTAGTTTAGACAACTCTGGCAAGGTGACTAACTATTTGCGAATTCGTTCCCATACACTAGTGAGATTAGGCAAGTCCCCGACAACGAAGAAGTGTACATCGACAAGAATGGTTTTACGAGCATCATCTTCGACATCACCGAGCGCGTCGGTGGCCCGGGCTCTAGCCCCGAGATAGATGGTCGCGCCTTGACTACTCACCTGGAGGAGCTAGTGGCAGAAGACCTTGACCGCGTCACAGTCTGGAACACCACGCCGACTCTGTTCTCGCGACTAGAGTACGTATTCCCAACCACCTGAGGTCAACGAGACCAAAAACTAACTCGCGCGACATCGCAACACGAACAGCGACGACATTCCCGCCTACACGCTGATTGCGACAGTCGCGCCGCCAAAGTCGGACCAAGCCTCTACATCGGCAAGTGACGAACGCCCGGCCGCCAAGGCCGACTTCACGGCCATCATTCTGACGCTGGTGAGGCTCGAGCGCGAGAAGACGGACTTGCTCATCACCATCAACGTCCCGCACATAAAGGGCGAATACGACGAAGACGAAGTCGACCTCCAGCTTGGCAAGCAGGGCCAGCTCATCGGCGACGCCGTCGATTACGCCGCAAAAATCTGGGAGACCTTCAAAGTCAAGGACTGGGGTCTGTTCAATGAGGTCTGAGAAGAAATTAAAAAAAATAATAATTGAGAAGAATTGGATTGGATTGACTACGATGTGCTCTTATTGGCCTGGGATGGCGAGTAGCGAGATGGAAGTGGGTTTTGGAGGTGAAAGAAGAGAACCTTGGAAGGCTAGGCGGGAAAAGAAGGGGATAATCCTCAAGGGAGATTCTGAGAAACTAGGTGCATCCAATTCCTTTGTTACTCTATTTCCCATTATCTTGGGCCTATGGTTTTGGCATGAATTATGAATGAATACCTGTGTCTCGTAGGCATGATACCGGTAAACTTGCTTTAGCAAGGCTGGGGAGACGGTCCCATCTCCTCGAACTAGGTAGACTGGGTAGAATCTACAATCGTGATCGATAGTAGTCTAACATCTCAGGTTCTCGTAAAGTGACAATCTCATTACGTTGTCTAGGTGACAAGACAACCGGCAGCCTTAGGCGGCTCATCCCTCACAAGGGCTATCGCAGGGTATCTAATATAGAACCGCAATGCCTCCATGCATCCTCGAGCTCAATATAATCTGCCGGACCCATATACACTTGCCTTTGCCAATGTATTAACGCAATCCCTATTGCGTCGATTCAGCCCTAGGAGAAGATATCATAAGCACCAGCCTCTCGAGCTGCAGCTTTAACTACTTCCTCGTCCTCTGCATACTCATCGTCATCAATCTGCAGGACCTCCACCGCAGCTCTTAATTCCTTCATCGTCTGACCTCCCTTACCCTCCTCCTTCTTCTGCGTCCCCTTCTGCGACTGCTGGAGTTCAGCCCACTTGGCCGACACGATTGCCATCCGTTCCTTAAATGGCATGCCGGGGTTGGTCTGGCCCAGAGCCCTCATCTCTTCTCCCACGAATTCGGTCCACGCGCTTTTCTTGCGGGTTGTCGTCGCAGGCTTGACTTGAATG